ACAAAATCAACAACTTTAGAGTTTTGGTTTTGTTTAATCAATAATTATTAGCCCTAAATGAACATATTATAGTGGCATTTCATTCAATGATGACGCCCCCCCCCCCCAGGCAGTTCTCCCACTGAGAGAGGATTGGAGAGTGGGAGGGCAGAAATATTCAGACATTACATGTACTTGGGGGTTCTAAACCAAAAATAATTACTTCCTCCCGCTTTATCAAAAAACGGAACCGACCCGTTTAAAATATTGAATAGTAGATCTAGATCCCTAGCAAACACCACCAGCAGCCCAGCTTGGAAAGAGACTATCAAAAACCATATCTTGATCTAGAAGCTATAAATAGTATCTTTGTTTATTCCAACTACCATTAGCTTAGCATGAACTGAGATTCTCTCGCAGATAGAAGTCGAAACCCCACACATTTCAGCCATTAAACTCTCTGACACGGGCATTAAAGGGATGACCGTCTCTGCAAGGAGGAGTTTCGACTTTTGTGAAAGCCGCAGTTAGAGCCGAGAGTTTATGCCCTTGGGGGGAAATGGCAAGATAAACGGTTGTATAATGTAATACGTTAATGTTGCAATAAAACAGACCCCGTACCCCCCACCCTAGGCTTTCTCAAACTGAGAAAGCCTAGCCCCCACCCCATCATTCTATACCCCTTTCTTCCGACACCACAGCACCGTATCCTCGTCGGATCCACATGTGACCGCCCGCTCTCATCACACTCCCCCCGCTGTGAAACCATTTTTTTCCCCGTTTCAATGTCTTTACCACCCGCCACAGTCTTAATAACCCATCACCTCTTTAATTGATTTTAAAAAACTAACATATTAATCAAACTAAAATCTATGCCGTGCTTTTCTTTAATTTGTCCCCTTCATGTATTATACAGCTTTGCTATTTCATTATCCTTATTTATAAAGGTTGCCTTTTTATAGGCTTCAAGACCTTGATATTCAACCCCAAAAAGTTAACGCACCAAAACCTTAGAAGACAGCCAAGACAAGACTCCATCAACAAACCTATTCCCCTACTTTCGGTTTGCAAATGTCAAGGACTCCCGCAACACAAAAGCGTTACGTGCATCTTGGCACGGTGGTTCACTCACCCAGAATCTGCAGCTCACGCGCGCTCTTTGGCTATCAACAGCTTGGTGAACGAGAAAACGTAAGAAAAATAAGACAAAAAGAGGGCAAACACGTGTTAACGTGGAAAACGATTTTTTGTTCTTTCTAATCAGTCAACACTGGATTCTAATGCCGAGCGTGCGCTTGTGTGATTATGTGTGTGCATGTGTGTGTCTGTGTGTGTCTGTGTGTGTATGTGTGTGAGTATATTTGGCCGAAGAGAAAAAAAACCCAAAACAATTTACAGGGCGATAGGACACTCGAGATCACAGGTC